ATAATACATTAATACTTTAGTTTTCATTAATATAAACATTTTATTTGCTATAAAAATTAATAAAATTATAATTGCGCGATCATAAAAAGCTTGATTGTAAGGGGGTGCTTATTTACGGGTCCTATATATAACTGGGGGTGCTTATTTTCGGGGGGTGCTTACTTTCGGAAGAATACGGTAATATAATTTTTGAATGTAAATTTTAATTAGTGATCGTCACTTGATTATTGACAAAAAAATGAATAAAAAAAAAAAAACAGCAGTAATGCTTCAATAATTGTGTCATGGACGATTCTAAAATCAATTATCTTTACAAAATTCTTCCTTCATCTCATGTTCTTCCACCACTTTCTTCTTCAGAAACACCAATTACATTAACCATTTTAGATAAGAAAGATGGGTTTATACATCTTTCAAATTCTATACAAGTTATACAAACAGCAATTAAATTTTTTGGTAATGAAGATGAAATTCTAGTATTAAAAATACCTTATAAAAAAGGTATAAAAGAAAATATTAGGTGGGAATTTCCACCGGGAACTGTTCAAGAATATTTTCCTCATTTATATGGGGATTTATTAAGAAAATATGTTACAAATATTGTTAAAGTAAAGAACCTTAGACAAGATGATAATAATATTGAGGGATTCGAGTGGCCTGAAGGATGGTTAGAAATGTGAATAGCTTTAATTAATTTTATTATAATTTTCAATAAATTTCAATATACGAAAATATTTTCTGAAAAAATTTGTTTTTTAACATTAAATGTCCATCCCGATCCTTAATCAGATTGTAAATTACAAAACTAACGGAGAAATTTGTTTAATATATAATGATACAAGTATTTGAATAATATGAAGAAATAAATAACAAAAACCTTCTCAGGTACTTCAAAATATCTAATTTACAAATATAAAAATAGAATACAAATTAATTCAAACAATCAAAACAAATATAGGAAATTTTTCAAATGAGCACACTTTCTTAGCAAAGATCATATTAAGAAAAATAATTAACATCATCTTGTGTGATTTATTTAAATATAAGTGACTGTCTTCAAAGTTTGCCATAATTTAGCCAACCATTTATAAAATGCATCGTGTAGCTTTTTTTTGATATTTGATCTGGTAGAGAACACAAATAATATCATGATGAAAAACAAAAATCCAGGAGCAGACATCTTTGACATCATCCTTTGCAAATACAACATCAAGTATTCCACTATACGATTGACAGTTGTAGATGATGTTGATACTATACGATTGACAGTTGATGGTCGATTGTCTACGATGTTTCTATTACTTGTCACTGTCGCCGTTGTTCTCGTTCCAGGATGTAAAGGGCGAGTGAAAAGTCCATTATTACAAGTCATCATATTTGATGATGGAGACGAAGATGATCCATATTTTTGATTATTTGTCAATACTTCCATCCCATTTGTGAAAATGTAATTTGTTCGAACGTTTAAAAAGCTATTACTATGGTTCCCATTGCCTTCTTCTTTTTTTAATTTGTCTTTTTTTGGTTTAGTATACTTAAGAGGTGTGGGTTTGTTTGTCCTTTCTTTTAATTTTAAAAGTGTTTGTTCATAAGCCTAATAATAAAGTTATTTAATAAATTAGTATTCTCATTTGTTTTTTATAAAAAAAAAAAAATTTATATTAATAATAATCATCTTTAAAGAAATAACCGCTTACTTTCTTGCGGTCCATATTAATAATTTCATTATCAGCAAGGAATTTTGAAGCTAAATCCCAATCCTTTAACTTTGGTAATACTTGTAAAAGATATAATTCCACAATCTTTTCATAAGATTTTAAAATTGTATCATTAGTTACGTGTTTCGATGACATCTGTTCAAGATGCAATATTAATTCATCCGGAAGTGCGTTAAACCATTCTTCAATTATATTACGTCCATTTAGTGCGTCTCGTTGATTTAAGCAAAATAGGATACTAATATTAAATTTTAAATATTTAGACATTTATCAGGTATAAAATGGACTAGCCAAACACTTGAAAGAAATTAAAAAAATTAAAGAAATTGCACTTATATCATACGATGGCACATTACCATGATTATAACCTTCTTACCCACCATGCTACGACGACTTCACCAGGAACTTCACCGATTTCTTCGGCATATCCTTCATTTACAACTTTAAACCATACATCATTGATAACTTTCTCAGGTGATCGTTCTAACAGTCTCTTAATCTCGAGATTTTTTGTTACTATTGGTGACTTTTCTGCAAGTATAGCTGCAACTAAATTAATGTAAAGGTTCCAAATCTTAGTTTGTAAAATTTTTATTGAAGGTGAGGGATCTGGAAGATCCAGAAGTTTAGAGATTGCAGAGGAACATAGTAAATGTGAAGAATCATATTTTCTTAAAAGGAACGCATGCTTTGCTCTTTGATATAAGGTGGTAAGTGTTTGCAATTCTATAGAACTTGGAGGCGACATTAGATATTGTGCTATATTTGAAAAGTCAGCAAGAAAGATGGGATTCGGTTTATCTAACGTTTGGATTATTATCACGTGATTAACGCGGTTACAAAAAATTGCAACTATTTTTGGAAATGATTATCTCATATTTAGTAAGTATTAAGATTTAATAAAATTAATTCAAAAGTTTTTACATTTAAGTTTTATATTAAAATAGATAAATTAATTATTAGGATTTTTATTATTAAAATTAGTAAAATTATTTAATAGTTTTATATTATATATAATTTTTTTATTATATTATTCAATTATTTCTTCAATAACTTTTCTTTATTTTAACAGATAATTCCTCAAGCAAAGAAAAAGCAACTTCTGATCAAAAAAATGTTAGTTCCTTACATCCTTCTAAACAGAAAAACAATCGCTTGCAGAATCAAAATAAAGATAAAAAGTTTAAGATTAAAGGAACTAGTAAACGGAAGAGTCATCACTCTCTATTCTACTACGATAGCTTCTCGTCTTCCTCCAGTTCTGACTCTAAAAATTATGATTCAGAGGATAATAAGAAGGATCCATTTGATATGACTAATGCTAATGATGTAGATGAATAGAATTTCTTTCAAATGATGAAAGGCCTCCAAACTGTTTTTAAATCTGTTAGATTCAGTGAACTCTAGAAAGCTAAGTTCATAGACTTACCAATCTTTAAGAAAGGAGATCAAGACCCCTAAGAATGGTTGAAAAGATATAATCATACTAGTAATGCAATTGGAATTTCTGATAAGCGATATCTCACATTAGTTCCTTCTTTTCTGAAAGGATCAGCCCTCACTTGATATAATAAAACTAAGAATGAAAAAGATTTGTAGTATTAGGATAATTCTAGCAATTGGCAATATAAACATCGATCTTTCGTCTACCACTTTTTAAAATATTACTGTACAACTTACTGAAGAACACAATGTTATTTTGCACTTAGACATTATAAACAACACCTTAAATAATCTGTCGAGAATTATGCCACTAATATCAAATCACTATACCTTAAACTTGATCCTGATTATAATACCTTAGAGGACAAGAAAATTGAGCAATTCTTATAAGAACTTTGATTTGAGTTTTTAACCGCAGTAGCTGCTGCAGCATCTTGAAATTTAGAGGAAGCTATTTATTGAACGCAAGCTGTTGAAGCTATTCTTTCTAAGGATAGTGTTCTCTCAAAATACTCTCTTAGTAAAATCTGCTTAAACCAATATGATGAAGAAGCTGAATAGGAGAAGCCCCAATATACAACAATTAATTAAGAAAAATAATGAAAAACTAATAAAAGAGTTTAAGCAACTGTTGACCATTACTATTACTAACCCTTGTACTAGCAATAATCATCCTGCATACAAAAATAATAATTAGAGAAATAATAGTTATAATAATGATCAAATATACTATAATTGTAATCAACCTGAGTATTTGCTAAAAATTGTAGATTACGTAGTAATCAAGGTGGCAATAGAAAAATAATAATAAGAATAATACTTTTCAAAATAATAACAGATGCTTACTTGCAAACAAAAAAGACATATTGGCAAAAATTATAATATCCACCTAGACCCTATATACATTATCGTCAGTTTGGACATTAGAGAAACTTATATCTAACTAAACCCATACTAATCTTTAATGATGGTCAACCACCACTTGATCAAACAAGTCAACAAGCTGTATTGTCTCAAGGAAATTCTATATATAACACTTCAAATTCATTTTTACCACCTCTTTTATTACAACTTTTGATAACATTTCTCTTTTCCAATACTTTGATGACCAATAATACATTCTCTTTTAATACCAATAGACAGTCTTTAAACTATTAAGAATACCTCAAGAGGGTGAAAATACTAGTCATTATCTAAATCTTTCAAATAAAATTGATACACTTAGAGTTGTAAAAGCTGTTTATTATTATACTTTTGTAGATGAAAAATCTATTTATTTAATTTTAGATTCAGATTCTGCTAAAAGCATAATGTCAAAAGTTTTCTACAATAGTTAAATAGAAAAATTGAAGGTGTTTCAACAATTACAATGATTAATATACAAGATAGATACTTACGACCTTTAGGAAAGTTACGAATATACCTATTCAGATTAGTGATGTAGAAATTTCAATAGATGTGGATATAACTGAGTCAACTGATTATTACATTATAGCTAAAAATGACTGGTTGACAAAATATCACAGACAACTTTACTGGAATTGTTAAAAATTTATCTTTCAATGGAATTAATAAGAACACCAAGTCCCAATGACTTGCTAAGAAAAATTCCAATTTGATAAATTTTAATAACCTATACCTATCCCTACAAGTTTTACGAATAACAAATATGAGGATAAAAAATTAATTATGCAGTGACACTATATGATATTAGGCGATAATGAAAAAAAACTAATTCTAGCTGAAAGTAATTCCAAACAAGTAATAGTTTAAAAATAAAGTTATTCGCTACAATACTTTAAGAGTCTCGAGCAAAAATTTCAGTATCATTCACCTGAAAATTCAAAATAGAATTATTATTAGCAAGCCCTAAAAATAGATGCTGGTGTCATAAACAACTTGATTAAGCAGATGATATTTGTTTATTATGTCAAAAGAAATAAGAATATTGGCAATTATTGTGAAATATTCCTGAAGAAGAACTAACAAAAACTAACTCATACATCCATTTAGATCAAAAGTAATAAGAGGATCTATAATAGTTTTTGCAAGTCAATACTAACGCATTTGCAAGTGATTTATTATAACTAGGGCATACTGCTATTGAAAAACATTATATTCTAATAGAAAATCTCCTGCTAATACGATAATGAGCTTATAGAATTACACCTTTAGAATAAGAATTCATTAAGGAAGAGATTGATCAGATGCTAAAATATAATCTTATTCAACTATCTGAAAGTCTTTGGGTCTCATCTGTTATACTAATGCGAAAGAAAATAGAAACTTACATTTTTGCGTTGATTATAGGAAGCTAAATAGTTTTACTAGAAGGAATGGATATCCACTACTCTAGATTGATAAACTACTAGATATATTCAGATGTTCTAAGTACTTTTATACCTTAGATTTAGCTAATAGATACTGGCAAGTAATGATGGAAACTAAAGATCAAGTAAAAATAGCCTTCATTACAAGTTAGGGATTATATGAATTTAAAGTTATGCCATTTGGATTGACATATGCACCTACTACTTTCTAGCAATTGATAAATAAAGTTTTAAAAAGAAATTGTGCAATTTGTAGCAGTCTATCTTAATGACATTATTATATTTTCTTCCACCTTTGAGAAACATATACAACACTTGAAATATATTTTTGAAAAATTAAGAAAGGCAGAACTGAAACTTAGTAAAAATAAATGTGAGTTTTATAAACTAGAACTTGCATTCTTAGGATATATTATTAGTAGACAAGGAATTTCATCAGACCCTTTCAAAATTGACAAGATTAGGAATTTTCTGATTCTTAAAATATTACAGAACTTAGAGGATTCCTTAGATTAGCTTTTTATTATTGCAAGTTTATTCAAGAATTCTCTATTAAAGCTACCTCCTTACATTTGTTATTGCAAAAAGAAAGTCTCTTTGACTAGACCTTAGTTCAACAGGAGGCATTTGAACATTTAAAAAATTATTTAATTATAGTATTGATTTTAATTTACCCAAACTTTAAGAAGAAGTTTTTATTATTCACTGATGAATCTATGTGGGACTTAGAATAGTGCTAGCTTAACTTGATGATCAAAATAGAGAATATGTAGTTGCATATACTAGTTTAAATAATGCTAAATGAAACTATGCTCCTACTAAATTAAAATATCTGACTGCAATTTGGAAAATGAAACATTTTAGATCTCTAATTTATTAGCCATTTGAGTTAGTCACTGATTATGTAACATTACAGTGGCTATTTAATAAACTGGACTCATTTAAGAAATTTATGAGATAGATAATTAGAATTATGAAGCTTTCTTATAAAATTAGATATAGAAAAGGAAAAATATACTCAAACACAGATACGTTATCTCAACTTTCCTCTCTTACAACTTAAATATAACTTAACAGTAACAAAATATAGAGTGAAAGTTTAAGTATTAGCAGTATGACTGACAGCTCTAATAGTCAAAATAGATTTAGAAACTTACAACTAACTTTATAACTTCTTGAATACTTTAACATACCCACCAAATACCATCCCTGCACAACAATTTAAGATTCGAAAACAATCATTCAAATACTTTATTCAAAATTATCAACTTTATTATTAAAATCAAAAACAATCCTCACAACCCCTATTAGTCGTAAAAACTATTGAAGTTGAAACCTTAATTCACAACATACATAATAAACTTTTAGGAGAATATCTAGGTTGAGATATTACTTATAACAAAATAGCCTTTAAATATTACTGGCTGAATATATATCAGATTATTAATAATGGATAAAACTTATGATATATATCAATGGTAAGGAAGATCTAAACAAATGGAACCTTTACATCCAATACCAGTTGGATAACTATTTGATCATATAAAATAGATTATGTAGGATCACTCTATCGAACTACTAAAGGAAATAGATACATTATAGTTATTACTGAATATCTTACTAAATAGGTAGAGGTTACTACAACTTTTGACTGTACTTCTCAAATAACTACACAATTCATTTATAGTGAAATAATTTATTAACATGGTATATCAAAGAAGATCTTAACAAATCAAGATACATCTTTTTAGAATGAATTAATTGCTGCATAAATGCATATTATTAGGACTAAATATAGATTGTTATCTCCATATCACCCTGACCAATGGATTAACTGAATGATTTAATCAAACTTTTTGTAATATTTTAGCAAAATATGCAGACTAATATAAAGGTAAATAGGATTTATACTTATCTTTAACACTATTTACCTATCAAATTACGTAATAAGAGACTATCAAGCTAAAGCCTTTTGAATTATTATATGGAAGAAAAGTAACCTTACCTATTGACATATAGTTGCAACACCCCTCTCCTGAAAGTAACCTTCTACAAGTAGTGCATAAACTTCATCAACTAATTTTTAATAAATTGGAATAAAGAAGATTTTATATATAATAGAATATTTTGCAATGATAATAACAGCAACAGAAACATTACAACAAAAGCCATATTGGAATAAATTATCAGATTAGAGATAAGGTACTAATGTTTAATGTATCACAGTCACACATACATGGTGACAAGTTTAAAGATAAATTTGATAGTCTATTTTACATACATAATATTGTATGACCTAGTATATACAAATTGCGTGTTCTAGATGGATGAATTAGAAAGAACCCAGTATATGCTAATCTCTTAAACTATATTTGGAAAGATCTGAATAGATATCATAGATCATCATCAGTTGAATCAAATTTCTTATAAATACAAGCTTCATAAAGACTCCAACGAAACTATTTGGTAAAATTTAAAATAGTGATACTAGATAACTTTGAGACTATTTTAGAACAACTGAAAAATACAACAGATTTTTCAACTATGAATATTTAGATCTTAAAATCTTATGATGTCAACATGACTTTATCTCAAAAAGTACAATTAACATATCGAACTCTTTTATGATCGATACGAATGAATAATCAGCTTTTGGCACTTGTTAATTCTTTCTATTAGAATAACTTCTTAATAACAAAATACTTACTCCTGCTTAACATATCTAATATGCCTCTATTATTACTATGCATTACTATCGAATTACTGTACAAGTCTTTTATTTATTTAAAAACTTTAGAGTTTAATGAATTTTAGTACTCAATCACTTACCTTAACGATGATTTGACGTTTAAAGACTACTGAATATTAAGCCTTAGTAATAGAAGCTCTGAATTTTTCTACTGGAGCAGAAATCTTAAGTAGGAGTAATGTAACTGGATTGGATTGATAAATGTGATGCAAAAAGTTACAGATCTAAATGTTAAATATATAGAACATATTTAACATATTAGATATATTTGATATATAGGATATATTAGATGTAATAGATATATTTGACATATTTAATATATTAGACATATTTGATTTATTTAATATATCCATTTATGTATTAAAATTAATATAAATAGAGAACAATAAAATCATGTAAATGACAGTTCGCTTTTGGTTTTCCTTTTAGTTTTATCTTTAGATATACTTGTAATAGCACTTTTAGAGGCATTGAGTTTAATAACCACATTTAGTATTTTTAGTCTTTTAGTTTTTTTTCATATTTCTATTATTTCTTTTCTTTATTTTATTTTTTTATTTTTTTGCTTCTCGTAAATAAACTTATTGTTATAACCTTAAATCAATTAAATTATTTTACAGTTAGTATTATTAAAGAGTATACTATCATGTAAATTATCACGCTTAAGATAAATTATATTAAATTACTATGTAAACTTTAAAAGAATCATTATTTAAACACCCCATCTAATAATCACAATTCGACAGGATTACACATTAACATTAATAATAAATTAGAATTATTACAAAATAATTTTAAGGATATTGATAATTCAGTAATAAAAAAGTTTAATATAAAAGAAGCTAAAGTATATTTAAATATTTAAATATTTAGCTATTTTTTTTGCTTTTTATATTTAGGTTGAAATGAAAGTAATTTTGAAAATTATTAATATAAAAGACAATTTAGACTACAATAAAATCTTTTAATAATAAGAAAAATACTACAAAAATATTATAGTCTAATTTTAGAATTATAAAAAACCTTAGCTTTAAATTATTAATTTTCTATTAATCAATTAATAATTTAGTTAAAATTCCTTTATAAATTACATTAGTCAGCTTGAAGAATAAAGAAAAATAGAAAGTTTTATTTAAAATAGTAGTAAATACATAATATTAATCAATTATATAATATAAGCAAATAAAATAAATTTTGAATTTGAGTTTATTTGAATCAATAATTTAATATAATTTATTATTTATTAGAAATAGATCAATAAGTAAAGGTTACAAAATATTTGTTTAAGGAAATTAATAAATAAATTATAAAATATAAATAGTGATCTTTATTCTGAATACTGTGATTATCAATACTATTTACTTGAAATCAGTAAAATGAATAAAAGAAATTACCAAAAGATCTGTTATAATTATATATGATTATTTATGATGATTGGTTAAGATTTATTATTTTCTTTATTTAATTTAACTTTTTTTGAATTTATTTAATATTTTTTATAAATATTTCTTATTTTCTTCTTTTAGCTAAAATATCTTTTTCAAAAATACTCAATTTTAGTACTGCATTATCATCTCAAATACTATGAAAATAAATATAATAATGATATGTAGTATTACAACTAATTATATCCTATTAATATTCTAAATAGTTATATAAAGTTTAAACTGATTTGATTTATAATACTAAATTAAAGCAGATACTATAACTAAATAATATGTAATAGAAAATAAAAAATATATAAAGTTAGAAGGAGAGTATTATTTGCTATTAAAAATAAAGATGAAGAAGATCTTGTAATAAATAATAGTAAATAATAAATTTTGGGAATTTAAGAAAAGAAAAGATTGATTTTTATAATTTATTTTTATATTTTTTAAGTAATTTTAAAGAAAGGATTAATTTTTTATTATTTTATTATTTATCCTTACTTTTTTGGATAATTCAAAAGGAAAGAGTTAATTTTTTATTATTTTTAAATTTTTTAGACAATTTTAGAAGAAAAAAGTATATATTTTTATAATTTATTTTATTTTTCAAGTGATTTAGAAAAGGAAAAAAAATCAATTTTTATAATTTATCTTATGTTTTCAAATGATTCAGAAAGAGAAAATATCAATTTTTTATTATTTTATTTATTTATCTTTACATATTTGAATATTTAGATAATGACAATATTATATTTAAAATAATTTTAGAGGATTTTAAAGGAAAATAGATTATAATTTTATTATATTATATTATATTATTTTTTTTTTTTTGATAGGAAATTAATCAATAGGTTTTAATAATATTTTTATTATGTTTTTTATAAATTTAGATTAGGTTTTTATTATTAATAAAATTTTAATATTTAATAAATTTAATTAAATAAAAATATACAGATTTATATGTTTATTTAACTGAATTGATGTTAAATTACATATTAATCAGAGATATTTTAGGTTAATTCATAGTTATATTTAAGTTATAATGCTAAATTAAGACCAATTTTATATTAATTTAAATTCTGAATTGATGCTAAATAGCTTTGTTTAATTGAAGTTGATTAATATGTATTTGTGTTAATCAGAAAACATGACTAATCAGTTGTAAATAGTATTAAAATCAATTTTAAATCAGTTATTTAATTTCTAGCTAATTTGAAATATTTTAATTAGTGATTATCTATCATAATTAATATATTATTTTTTCTAATATCATGATTTAGTTAAATTAGATCAGAATCAATATAATAGTTAGATATTTTTCAAATCAATTAATTAGAGATGTTTTGCATAACATATATCATATTATAGAAATCTTTCTAGTTCTCTAGCAATTTTATGATAACTTTATAAAACTAGTTTGATGCTAACATAACATCAAATTAGATCTCTTAAATCATAAAATGATTAGCTAATTAAAAAAAAAGGCTAAGCCATTATTATTATTTGATTTATTATTATATTAATTAATTTTATCATATCATTAGATATTTGTTTATAAAATAAATATCCATTCCTTAAAATCTTCTTATAATATAATAATATATCTTTTATTGAGAGTGATACTCAATTAATTTTTCTCATTGATAAATAAAAATAGAGAAATGCTAAATTTCATGTTATTCTAAATAAAAAGAAACATTTGTTTTGGAATAATAATGCTGAAAAAATAAAAGAACAAAAAATACAAATTATTTCACTAGCAAGGATTTTGCAAAAATTCACATTCCTCATCATAGAAGTTTAGAGTAAATAGTTCTTGAATTTTATAAAGAATCTAGCTATTTAATATACTTATTATTTTTTAGACAATGGAAAAATATAAAGGTACTAGGAGCTTAGTTGAAAAAGGGATTTATAAAGAGTTTCTACTAAGTTTTAGTTAAACTCAGATATATATTTCAGTAGAAAATTTTTCAAGAGGATTTTTCATTATTAATAACATCTCTATTTTAATTTGCTAAAATTACCATTCGAATGGACACATAATGAAAGCGTTAAGAGATCAAGCAGGACGAGTTCATCATCACACTCATCAGTCTCTAGACCTGAAGTAGCAATTAGTAAAGGATTAAGTTCCTCTTCAGATAGACCTGAGAAATCATTGGACATTGCACAATTATTCGAAGACTCGCCTCAGATGTCAAGACCGGTAACAACATCCTTAGAAACACCTACGTTTTCTAGGCCTGTAACACTTACACATCCATTTTTTTCACAAAGTGCAAATGTTATTAATATCACTATTAATTACGGTGTTGGTGATGGAAGAATAAAACACGAAATGAATAATATCAGGCTTTCCGCTGGCCCCTGGACCATAATATGACGGTCCCTTCTCACTACTCCGCACTACCTAAGTTCTTATTAATTTTATTATCTAATCAAACACCTATTTTCTCTAAGTTTTCGCTTTTATTTTAATCCCATGGTAAAAAAATTTTTTATTGTATCCATTCATATTATTTGTGAATATGAAAAACGTTTCTTCAAGGAACGATCATAGTTATGTGGCGCTCATTAAATATAAAATCATGTGATAAAAAATTTCAGCTACCAATCGTAATATTGCCTTACACCATCATAAGTTACACATTTTTTTACTTTTCCGAAATGCAAATTATTCAGTATTATTGATATACTGTAAATTTATATTTCATTTGAATCTGACGGTTCTTTTGAACGCAGGTGTTCCAAGTGTTTGACGATGCCATGTTTTAAAATTATCATTGGATGTTTCTTCATTCTCGGATTCTTCCTTCTTATTCATTTTTAAAGGATCTCTTTCACTGTTCCTTCATACGCCAGCTAGAGGAACAATTTGAAATAAACATTTTATTTAAAATTAACAAGTAATATTAATAAACTACAGCAATTAAATAGTCATACCTGAAATGCATGCAGCGTGTCTAGTCCACTTAAAAACATATTGCAAGATTCGAAGGATCTTGGAAGTTTCACACTACCACCGGTATCAATCATCACATAAATCCCAGGACAAATCAAAGTCATTAGATAACCAGTCCATTTTGTGACTATTTATTACATAAAGAATCATTAATTAGATATAGGATAAGATTAGTTAAAACAAGCTATCCTAAAAACCAACTTACCGATAACTTGCCAAGCAAAAACCCGATTAACACCGGTATTCAGCAAAAGATTATCCAGCGAGTCCTTCATAAATATTCCCAACCTAATTAAATCAATTAAGTTTTTCTTTTCTGTGTTATTTTTTCCTTCGCCTGTCACTTCTCCATATATCACCTCATAAGCAAACTTGCCTATTTATGTATGGTAAAGGAAAAGATTAGAATGCTGATTGTTATTTATTTTTTTTTTTTTTTGATTTGTTTTTTATACGTACCATTATTGACGATATTCCCGATCATATCGGGTTGTTTGGCTCGGGTAGGATCTCCAACAGCAAGCTTTCGGGTTTTTGAACTAGCACTGGACGTATTTGGCCAAATAGTCGGATATATATAAGCATCATGAAGGAAAATGCGCAATATAGGACTTATTATATTCGCCACCAAAGTTCCTTCGCTAAGTTTTTCTTTCAATGAACGTAGCGGAATTGTGTAAGACCTACAAAGTAGTAAGGAAAATCATTACCACAAACAATTAATTAAATGAATATTAAAAAAGAGATCAAACTTACAGGTGTTGAAATAGAAACAGCATTCGTTGGAAAAATTCTTCTGTTGTTGAATCAGATGTTTTCGAGAAAGAGTTTATAATTGTCTTACGAAGTTCACATAACCCACCATCATCATTATCAAGTGCAATCTAAAACATGTTAATCAGCAAAGGGAATTGCAAAAGATGATAATTTTCATATGAGAAGTATACCAACCTCTATATACTCTTGTAATAGTGATTTTATGTCTCTTGACACCTTTTCTTTTCCAATAAAACGTGATTTTATATCCCTTCTTAAATCTTCGAGTATATCCCTAGAAAATGTTTTCACTTGCATATCTGAGTAGTTATCAGCCTGAAGTAATAAAATATGTGATAGACTTCTAAAATTTCAAGAAAAATAAACATCCGACATCCTTTGTCAAGAAAGTTAATTTGCTAAAAGATATCGATATTTCATTTAGTAATTCTACTTACAATATTTCATGATAATTCTTTGTTACTAGCAGTCCATAATTTTGTGCAAGAGATAATGCTTTGGATCGATAAGATTCAAATAATGATGAAATGTCTTTAGTTTTAAAAATGAACTATAAAACATAATTGTTAGCGAAATCATACTTGAAATTGGTGGTGAAAAAAAAAGTACTTACTGGTTCGTTCCTTTGATCAATGTATTCTTCAAATCCGATGTCATCTATGTTTAGCCTTAATTCATTCTCATACTCATCATCACTTTCCTCGGACTCGTAATGCTTATCGGATTCATCATAAATCTTGTACTTTATAAACGTAAGACCAGTCAGTTTGAATCCAAAAATGAAAAATATATAAACAAAATTGTATTATTATTTATAATACTGACACTATCATAATTTGATCCGTCATCAGTATGGGAGAGCGCGCGTCTCTTTGATCTTGGTTTATCCTTAATATCATCCTCCATTATTGGACAAGGCGTACTGTATCCTCCTCGTTTTTTTCCCTTTGTTGTTCCTATTATCTTACTCTAAAAATATACCAAATAAACTCATAAAGCTTGAAATAACTAAACAACAAGATTACAAGATGAAGGAATCTTACCTGCACACCATATTGGGATGGACACGGATTATGAAGATCTTGGTGTTGAAACTTGGTTGTATGTTCTTGACTTTGGTCCGTTGCCTTGAACATGTGCAGAATTGTAAAGGAGTCATGTTAATAGCTAGGATCATCGAGGCCATAACACATCGAATATTTAATAATTTAAGTACAAACCAATTCAGTTTCATTCCGACTACTGGATGAAGTTTCTCCATTATCTTCTATTAATGGTTTATTTGATGCGTTTCTGTATAGTTCCGAATATTTACGCTCCGAGAATATTGTTGCGTCAAGTTCCCGAATCCTTTCAACTAACTGCTTGTCGAGATTTCGTTGATAAATCTCACCATACCATTCTTCACATTTCTGCTTTATAGTAAATCCTTCAAAAGTTTCACAAATTTCGAGCAGGTCTTTGCAAAATGACGTTATACAGACTGGTAACCTTTTGCGACTATTTTTTTCGATAAGATTGAGAGAACGTTGCCAATCATTATAAACAGTATTCCACGGTAAAATTACTTGGTCAGTTTTTAAACGAAAACTTAAGTAGTGTTTTAGTTGCCAAAACTGTGCTTCTACAGTCTTAAAGTAAGCGTGAGTAAAAATTTCACCAGATACTTTAAAATCAAAGTACGTCTTAGTTCTGAGGACTGCCGTCATAGTTTGTAATAGGGTTAAGATCAGATTGGGGTTGGGCGTTAATTAACCTGGTTAATTAACCAATTAACCAAAGGATATTTTAGAAACTTTAAAATTTTTTTACAGTTATATTTAAAATTGTGTGCTAAAATAGAAATCAAATTTTTCTGGCCAAATATCCGGAAAGAAAATAATTAAAATAGATGATAAAATATTCCGGATTTTTGTGTGGTTGGTCCCTTTCGTTACACTTGTGCTCTGGATTTAACAATGGTTTCCGAAACCGTTCCCTAGAACAAAAAAATATATAATGTTAATTAACGATTAATTGACCAAATCTTAATTAACCGCTAATTTCCCATCCCTAGATCAGACACTTGTGCTTTAAAAATTTGCCGTTCATAATGATTTTCGATCGACAAAAACGACCATTCGTGAGGGTGCAACTTTGCCGAAGTTTTTCGCGTCTGTTCCAAGCTTTGGCGGCGAGAACTTCCCTTGGTATATTTTACCTTGGAGACGCCATACTTCATGTCTGTTCCAAGCTTTGGCGGTGAAGTTATGAGTTGCTTGATGGCTAGCAACTGTTCGTGTCTGTTCCAAGCTTTGGCGGCGGCAGTTGATTTTCTGACTTTGCTGAAGTCCCTCGCGTCTGTTCCAAGCTTTGGCGGCGAGAACTTCCCTTAGTATTTATTTACCTTGGAGACGCCATACTTCATGTCTGTTCCAACCAAGCTTTGGCGGTGAAGTTATGAGTCAGTAGATATTCAAGCTATTTCTTGATGGTCATCAGCCTCAATCAGTTAAATCTCATTTTTTGTTAGAAAATTTATATTTACAAACATCACAAGGGAACTTTATTAAAAACAGGCCAGTTAAGTGATAATATATATATTAGTTGGTAGTTCTTTAAATCCAGAATTCTTGCATTTCATTTTGATTTCTTTTTACTTTACTTGCACAAGGCGAATAAAAGGATTTACTAATTAGGATCTTACCTTTTTATATTGCGACTAAGGATGATTTTGGGATAAATCTTTGAAAGAAATTACCACGAAAATCAGATCAACGAATAATCCTTAAATTTATAATAGACACTGAAATCATATCCCTGGATCAACAAGGAGGGTTTTTTTTTATTATTAATACATGAGTATATGCAGGAAGTTTCAAGAATAAATTATATAATGCAATGACTTGTTCCTGTAATACATAAATATTAGTATATAAACATAATCCCATATGCTTCTCAAATATTGATATTTGAATATATTGTGCTTAATACCTTTTCTTTATTGATTGAAAATAATAAAAAGAATTACATATTGCAGTTAATATTGCGCAATCATGCATGTCTATTATATGCAATAATGTCATCACATGGTTTTAATTGCAAACTTGAATTTATTGCTTGAAGAATTTCAGCTAAGATAATATTCTAGCTTATCTTGGAATAACAACTTCATTAATTCAAAATCATAGGGAAGTTGATCATAACTTATAATTATCAATCCTCTGAAACTATTTCAGAATTTTAATAATTAACATAAAATAAAATTGTATCAATTTGCTTTGAGCAATAAGCTTATTTTTTCATTAATCACTATTAGCAAACTTCTTTTTGATACAGTGTTTCAAATATAATAAAAATGAAAGAAAAGTATTTTCTTAATATTGGCAATTCATATAAAGGTAGAATCAAAAGCCTTTTTCTTTTCAATGCATGTAACTTTTATATAATACTTACAATATATTGGCCTATTTATAATGATTATATGATTAGTTTTGAAATTATAGATTTTATTACAAACTGATTGATTGATATATCTATAATGTAAGTGAGAAAAGATAATTTATCTTATCATAATACAAAATAATTTAATTATATTATTTATTATGAAATTAATCTGTAATAAAAGTGAAAAAGATTTTATATCTTAAAATACTTTTATGAATTGTATTATTTACTCACATATCAAAAAGAATGGTACTGTTTATAAAAACAAATGCTAATGCATTATCAAATATTATAGATATTAAATATTATATAAAAAAAATATAGAAAAACCTTATGTTATTTATAAATTTCTTACTGCTTCTACTATAAGATATTACTTTAAACATTCTGTCAAGTTTTACATACTAAATTATCAAATAGATAAAAGTATGATGTTAAACCCTTTTATTCTAGAAAAACTTTTGAATTATCTGAAAAGTAAGTAAAAATGAATTCAAATACTAATTATTAACCTGAATATAATAAAACCTTTTTAGAAATAATATATATACAAATAGAAAAAAATTTTATTTTTAAATATACTTATATTATTTCACAATAAATTAGTATTTTAATATATATTAAAGAAATCTTACAAATAGCATAATATTTATATTAGAACTAAACTTTTCAAATAATTTCTATTAATAATATTAATAATTTATCAGATAAAATCTGCTTGCTATAATCATACTAAGTATCTTTTAAATTTACTTAATAAATTTTTTTTCTAGTTTAATATAAAAATAATATAGAATTCTTTTTATTATCAAATATACTTTAATTAGATTATAATATCTTTTATTCTTATCTATAGTCTTAAATTTCAATCTATATATTATATGTAATATTAAATTTAGTAATTAAGTTGTACTTAAATAATTTTTAATTCTGATTTTTTAGTATTATATAATATATCTGTATTATTCAAAATTTGTATTATTTTGAAAATTAAATTCTAAAGATATAATAACAATTTAGAAAAATTCAAATATTTCTTAATATCATCAACTTTATATCTAGCTTTATCATCAATATTTCTAGTAAATATACAATTTCTTAATAATTTCAGACAAATTTGATACCTTTCAACTCAGTAATAGTTATAAGTCTATCTTCTCTATAATCTTTATAGGTTATAGTTTCAACTGCTATTTTATTATTAAATACTAGTATCTCATAATTACTTATAAATTTTGAACTATTTCATATAATTACAATTTTCATATTTTAAAATGAAATTTTCAGTTAATGATTTAGATGAAATTTTATAATAATTTGCAATTTGATATTAATCTAAAAAGTGTATTTCTTCTAATATTTTTGACTTATTTTTAAAAATTTAGCAGTTTTACAATTAATAATAATAACATTAAATATATCTATTAATTCTTCTGCTTTAATAATTAAGGAATTAACCTTTATAGTTTGAGATAACAATATAACATTTTATTAAACTTAAAAATAGATTCTATGATAAAAATTATTATATTTACTTTCAAAAAAATCAATTATTTACCAATTAAATAAGCATCAAAAATAGAACTTTTTAATATATAAGCTACCTATAATTGAACAATCAGTATATTCTTAGATTAATGATAAAATCTGTCTAGAAATATTCTTTTATTTTAAAGTTCTTAAAAAAAAACATTTTATACTTAACATTTAATAGCTATTAAAATAGTTCTTTTTCTGTAATAAAGATATTAAAAAATTTTGCTCAATATAGCAAATATAATCCTTAATATATTACATACAAAATAACATTTAGTTTATTCTAGTATTTGTTTTATATAATTGTTAAAGATGCAGAATATTCATTCAAACTTAAAATTAATATAAAATACTCTTATATTTAGAGTACTAGTATATGTAACTAGATCTACACTCCTCAATCAAAAGTATTAGATTATGCGATTTTGATATTCAAATTGATGTAATTTGATCAATCATAATTTTTGATAAAAAATGAAAAATGAATTAAATTTTTTTTCTATATAATTATAAACTTTAATGTTTGAATATATATATATATATATTTTTTAATATTAAAAAATTAAAAACTTATTGAATTTGAACAAGGTAAAAAAAATTAGCCTTTAGAAAGGTATCCACAGCAAGCGAAATATTATAGATATTCTTATCCATTTTATCACATTTTTATTATTTTAAAATGATGCTTATCATTGTATTTAGTGTCGTTCTCATGAAAATTATGATATAAATTATTTAATTCCTATTGTAAAATCAAGAAAATAAGATATAATAATATAGAGGTATTTATGAAAAATAATATTAGAGTTTTAATTAAAGTTTCTAATAAATTGTGAGTTTTTTGTATATAATGAGATTTAAAAAATAATCTTTTGCCTTTTACAGATGAGTTGGAAATTGAGTTAGAATATATTTTTTAAGATTAAATGCATCAGTTAATTAGGTAAAGTAATTAAACAATAGATAGAAAATATGGTAATTCAATCTCAAATATTTTATGGTCTACATAGGATCCAGAAATATATATATAGAGGTTAGGTAGAATTTTGGCTTTTTACTATTAGCTGTATGCAAGAAATTTTCATAAGAGTGGTATACATTATTAATTTCTGATATTGAAAATCCTGTAAAAATATGTAAATCAATTTTCATACATTATGATCACATGATTAATTGTATTCAATTTACAATTTATTTATTTGAAAGAAAATTATAGAATTTAACATGTATTTAACCTATTTTACTATTTTTTTAATGATATCTTTTTATTCAAAATAATTAAAATAATATTGTTTTGCATTTTCAACTAATTTTAAAAAATTTCCTTTAATAGTTACTTTATTCTATTTAATATGATATATAATATTTTCAGAGATATGATGCATAAGTATATAATAACCTTTCTTAACTATATCAGTAAATAATTCTAAATGCAAAGGAATAAATACATACAATAAAATATACAAAATATTATTTAAGTCTTTAATAGAATTATCATTATAGTAATGATGACTATATGCCTCAAAATATAAAGCTTCTATATATCTAATACATATCTGAGAATCATATCAACAAATATATAATCTCCTTTTGATAGTGAAAAATCTTCAGTTATATTTGCAGTTTTGATATTTAGAACTATTTTAAAGAATATGTTAAAATAAGATTTTTTTTAATGTAATAATAAAGATAAATATAAAAAACTTATTTTCAATTAAACATTCTTAAATATTTTTTTTTAATTTCCTATTTTTCTTTAATTTAGCCAGTTCTTAAGTATATAATTGTATTAAAGTTATTGTAATATTTTTTCAATTATCTTTTCATCATTTTTCTTTTTAAGTTACAAATCTTTGCTCTGAATTTTCATTTTAGTGAAAAAAGCAACAAAATAACATATTTGGTTGAATTATGCTTGATTCTTCAAATATTCTTGAATTTGTTTCAACAATTTTAAATTATTGTTCAAGAAATTTTGAACAATATGCCTTATAGAATTTTTGTTGATTATATAAAAACTCAAAATCTAATTTATTAAAGGATAAATACTGACATGATAAATTAATAGCAATAAATAAAAATAATATTAATAATAAATAATATAAATTTTATTAAAAAAACTTTTAATTAAATAAGCTTACCACTATTATTACCATTTAAAATATACAAGTTATCAGAAGGTTGAGCAATTTCATTTAATTGTGACTAGCTTTCAGTAAATTTATCATTAGCTTCTTGTTTTTCAACTGGATAATACTCTTATAAGAGTGTTATCCAGTTGTACTATAATGTTATCTAGTTATGAGTATGATGTTATCTAGTTACTATTTTTAACATTCTGTAGCCTTACTATTGCTTTATTGCTACTATTACATGAAAGAAGACATGGATGATGATGATCTAAAGGATAATGTTGATTCCTAAGAAATCATATATGT